TACACCCCTAAAGTAAATCATTCACAATTGTGATCCACAAAAGAAAGAAAGTTTTATGGTTTGAGAATTACATGAGGGTGTAAGTAATGTCAGAATTTAAATTTTGGGTAAACATGTCCTTTTATTGGTTAAAGCCATAGCCATTTATAGGTTAACCTCCACAAAAAGTGTAAACGTGGTGGCTGTGGTGCTTTCAAAGTGTTGTTTGTTTGAGCAGTTTTATATGTTAACTTTCAATGCTGTACATTTGAGACAGGACTACTTGTTTGTCCAAATAATGGACAATGGGGGAAAACCTGGACACAAACAATTATTTTTGCTGTTGAATTTTATATTGGAGCAGCACAGACACATTTCACCTTTAAATCACAGAGGAAGTAGCACTAAAAGCATGCATAGTGCCATCGTGCGGACGCACTTGATGACCTCCTCTGGAATGATCAGATGATCTGTGGGTGTGAAGTTAGAGTGAAATAGCTGAGTGTATGTACATTAATGTCAGGGTCAGTGCAGATGAGCAGTCTGTGGACGCCTGCAGGCTGGCTGATTTAATAAGCGTTTTATTGAAAACACCATCAGACAGGCATCTCCCGGCTATAAGGAGTGGGAGAAAGCTAGGCAATGGTGCAGTGAACCCCCCTCCCCTTTCACTTGCTCTATTCTATTGTTTGAGCAGAGAGGATAATGGGGTTGAATAGCAGACTGGGTCACACCAATCAGACATGAGGTAAAACAGTTCTCTGTCATCGGAGTGAGCAAAATGTGCAGTTTTGTTTGAATCAGCTTTGTGTTTCATACACACTTCCTTCAGAATCTCATTGTCCTTAGATCGTCCCCTCCTTCAGCCTCTGTCATCCCGGGCTTGAATGGAAGGCTTGGACTTGGTGGAAAGAGGCAGGATTATGGATACTTCTGCTGCCAAGTCCATACTCCTATGCATATTCATGAGGTGATCTGCTCTGTAGAGCTGATGGGAATACAACTGATCCTTCTCAACTGAGACCTGCACAGCTTCTCTGGAATTAAACTAGTTTGGAGATCATTTCAAGGAAGTGTCAGGATTTAGTTGTTTTGTATCACCAAGGAAACTCATAGATGTCTTCATTTTGAATAAATGTGAGAATAACATTTATGAAATGTTTCATTTTGTTGTTTGACATTTAAAGCCTTGGGTTGTTTCTGCAGTACATATTCTCATTTACATTTTTATGAAAGTTCTAGTATAATTCAGGATTTTGTCCCACATAAAGGATTTTTTTCAGTGTTTGTTACTTTCTTCTGTCCCAGTTTAATGAGCAATAGTAATACTCTCCTCCAAGCCTGCGTTTATGTAATCAAAAATACAGGAAAGACAGTAACATTACAGTTTAAAATAACTGTTTTCTATTTTAATATATTTTAAAAGGTAATTTATTCCTGTGATGCTAAAGATGAATTTTCAGCAGCCTTTAAGATTCTTTGAATAATAAAAAGTATATTTACATTTTTATGTAACATTATAAATGTCTTTACTGTCACTTTTTTTTAATCAATTTAGTGTATCCTTGCTGAATAAAAGTTTTAAACAGTGGTGTATTTTTTTTCTGAAAGTATTCCCCTGCACCATAGATCTAAAATATAATTTGTGCTTTCAGTATTCCAACACACTCTAAAAAATGCTGGGTTGGTTCAACCCAACTTTGGGTCAAATTTGGACTAACCCAACGTTTAGGTTAAAAATTTAATGTACAAATTTAACCCAACAATTGGGTTAGTCCATATTTGACCCAAAGTTGGGTTGAACCAACCCAGCACTTTTTAGATTGCAGTTTTGATGTCACTGATGCCAAACGCCATTGGTGTAATTATGTGAAAATGTCAATGAAATTTGGCAGTTTAATGGAAGTGTTCAAAAATGTTTTTAAAACATCACTGAGAGGATTTTAAATGGCATTTTTCTGAAGCAGGATTTCAGACCAATGAGATTTTGGAGTGGGCGGGGCAACCAAGTGAAACAGCAGAAATGAAAATCAAACTATCTGCGAATATCATTTGTTTTCACAGTTAGTTAGGACAAAAACTCACATGACAGAGATTTTATCATTACCCATCTGGTTAGGATATAGTGTGATGCTGTTAAACTAGTCTTTATAGTATTTTATATCATCCTACAGGTGATGAAGACGTATCACATGTATCACACGGAGAGCATCAGTGCAGAAAGCAAGCTGAAGGAGGCCGAGAAACAAGAGGAGAAACAGTTTAGCAAATCTGGAGACATCAACGTCAACCTCCTGCGCCATGAAGACCGACCCCAGCGCCGCAGCTTGGTCAGGAAGATTGAGAAGATGAAGGAGAAGGTGAGATTACTCTGGTGAGCTTGCAGCAGAGCTCATAATGCTCAGTAGAGTGACTCATAATGCCTCACTGCTTTTATTAAACCAAAGGGCCATTGCAGCCTAGAATCACATTCATTTCTTCTCCCGACACTCTCAAGCAGGATTGTGACCCTTTAAGAGAAAGATTATGTTATTTCAAGTGGTGTATATTATCTCTGCACAATGGAGAATAAAGCTAGCCCTTTGTCACTCTTTGACTTCCTTCAAAAACCACTGTGGAAGGAAGTGAAAGCCCACATTGCATCATCATGACCAATGTCTTTTTATCCAAAGCTACTTTCAGTACTCTTATTAGACAATCCCCCTGGAGGAACCTTGAGTTAAGTGCTCTTGTTCTTGGTTAAGTGCTCAAAAGCACAATGGTGACACCTCTTTGCGAGGATCAAACCAGAAAACTTCCAAATGCAAACCCTGAGCTTCGATTGGCAGTAAATGCTGTTCCACACAAACTCTTCTCTTCAAGTGCTCCAAGTTTGGGTCACTTACTTGTAATGAGAAGTGCTTATAAATCTTCTTTTCTTCAAGTATTTTTTTCAACAAATGAGAAGCTTTAATGACTTCCTGCATTTTTCCTTTGAAATAAAAGCTTAATTTAAGACATTTAATTAATTTAATAATATTTTTTTCTTATAATTAAATAAAAAATGTCACTTTATAATGTTTTCATTATGCAAATTTAATTAATATGTTAAATGTATTACTTATATAAACGTATTAACATGTTAAACGTATTACTAATATAAAAATGTATATGTTTAATATTTGTATGATTATTATTATTATATTTTAATACTCTATTTTAAAGTGAAATATTTCAATGGCAATACTTTGTTTAATATTTTTATTTATTTATAATAAAAGTTATATTTATAATAAAACTTTATATAACAGTAATAATAATAATTGTATTAGATTAATATTATTAATATTAATATTATTGTATTAGAATAAAATATTACAAGACTAATATTTCTAATTCTTCCGTTTTTATTTAATAATAATAATAGCAATTATTATTATTATTATAGTCATATTGATATAATCACTATACATTTTTTTAATCACATTTGAAATCATGATCACAGTTTTTATTAGGTAAAATCCCAATTATATTTTTTCCCCAAATTGTGTAGCCCTATCATGATAGCATTTTTTTTCTTTATTTCCCGTACACCTAGTAACAACCCTGACTTCTTCCTAGTTACCTTCTCATCGGCTCTTAAAAGCAGTGCAGGCACTAAGGTTTGAATGAGCCTGATGGATGGGTTTATAAAAATGAATGTGGGCTGAGCTTTATCTAAGAATGGACAATGAGGTCAGTGAGACTGTAGACAGCCTGGAGACTGAATGGCTGACTACTCACACAAACCAGATTCAACATTTCAGGTCAGTGACTTCAGCTGTAAATCATCTAATTCATGCTAATTCATAGTTGGTTCTATGAACTTACAGGAAGCTAACTCATAGTGACTATAGCACCATAAAAAATGTATAAATGAACATTTACAAATATTGTGCTTTTCACATGAGGCAGTTTTCATGTGAATGAATTCGGTTTCCTTTACTAGCCAGCGTGCAGGCTCTCTCACTTTTGCTCTTTGTGTCGCTTTCTTTCTCTCTCGGCTTTTCTCTCTCTCCCTCCCTTCCTCCCCTTTTCAGGCTGCAATGCGTAGAGATGTTGGCATGAAGGCCACTCAGCCTCACACTATTTATAACCATGGATGCTCTGTGTTTCTCTCTGCAGCCTGACCTGATTCTGCAGGCTAGCAGACTCCAGCGTGATCTTAGCACACCTGCAAGCCTCAGTGGCCTTAAAGGACTATCAATTACTAGTTTGATTATGTGGAAATACATTTTGAATTTCCAGTTATATTCCAATTGTAGATTGAAATAACTGACAATTATGATTTTTGTCAGAATTGTGCAGCCCTAATTTTTAGATTAAATGGGTATATTATAATAGAAAAAAACCAGATACTGCATAATTTATTCAGGTTATATGCTGGTAATCTTTCAACTTAAAACCGATTGCTATAATACAAACCCAGCTAATCATTTTGATTAAAAGGCCTCATTTGAACTCCGGAATGATTTGTTAGTAGTAATTCACCGATTAAAGAAAGTCCACCCAAAAAGGAAAATGTTGTTTTCATGTACTCACCATAACGGCTATTTCAAACCTGAATGACTTTCTTTCTTCTGTGGATCATAATGGAAGTTATTTTGAAGTATGTTGGTAACCAAACCATTTCGGTTCCCATTGACTTACATTGTATGGACAAAAATTGAGACAATTTGGTTACCAACATGCTTAAGTTTAAATAATGGTCAGCTTACAGTATATATTGTTCCCGTCATACTTGCTTTTCATTACAGTGATTGTTTATTCACTATCAAACTCAACTCATTTGATCAGTATTCAATTGTTCAATTCAATTGAACTTACATTTACTAATCACTGGTGTTTGTTCTTCATTTAAAGGTGACATATTATGCCCATTTTTACAATATGTAATATAAGTCTCTGGTGTCCCCAGAATGTGTCTGTGAAGTTTCAGCTCAAAATACTCCACAGATCATTTATTATATAATTTTGAAAATGCCTATTTTGAGTGGAAGCAGAAACACCCTGTGTCTTTAAATGCAAATGAGCTGCTGCTCCCCGCCCCCTTTTCCAGAATAGAGCTGCGCCATTACAGCTGGTATCTGCTATAAAAGGAGGATATCCCACTGTTTTGGTTCTGATTATCATGTTTATCACGCTGAAATCATGTGTTTTAAACCATATGAGTTTAAACTTCAGATATAAGGTTTTCTGAGTGCACACGTCCGAAGCACACGGACAGAAAGCGGCTGTCACAGCATGTGAGTACTAAACTAAGTTCTCATTCACACACAAGTTTACATTAAAAACACACATGAGTTACAAAAACAGTCAGTTATGTCTGTGAAGGTAAACAGCTGGGAAATAAATAGCATGTTTATTTTAGATCTGAGTGGCAGCAGCAATATAGAGTAAATAAATCAATAAATCCTCTGCTCTCGTCTCCTCTGAGACTGGGACTCTAAACAGTGTTCTGTGCTCGTCTGTGCCGCCAAAGACAGAACAGTTAGCATGTTTTGCTCAAACTTTCGCCATGGCATTAGAGCTGGTACACCGTTGTCGCTTGCGAAATCAAAATGACATTGCCTTGAGTGGAAGTTTACATTAAGGGGCGGTAATATTATAATTAGATCCCTTTGCCACGTCACCAAGGGAGCGAAATCAGACGCGCTCGTTTTCTCAGATGCTTGCAGAAAAAGGCTTACCTAAACAAAGTGATTGGGTTAATCTTTTTCACGTTTCCTTGGTTGGTAGATGCACTAGGGACCTGATTATAGCACTTAAAACATGGAAAAGTCAGATTTTCATGATATGTCACCTTTAAGGATTTTGTTTTGTCAATACAATTATGTAGCAGTCAACTGTTATTAATGATACTAGAGCAGCTGTCTGCTTTGAGTGCTCAAGCTTTTTGATGTAAAATTCAGCAGGACCCAGCTGGAGATCACAAGCAGATGAGACTCAGTCGTTTTCAATTCACACTGAACTTATATGATGTATGTTATTATTAATGCTTTCCGAATGAAAATTTTTTAAATGATCAATTTTTTGTTCTGTGGAATTTACATACTTTTAAAAGTTGCAGATTGCTTATTCACACCTTTTAACTACTGTATATGGAACACTTTACACCCCCCCCCCCCCCTCCTCTTGTTTTTTTTTTTTTTTAAAATCATAAGAACTGGGAG